ATAAAAATGTCTATTAGTGTGAAAGGTTGAAAATACAAAATAAAATGAAAAGTTGTGTCTATTTAAAGAACTGAAATATATTAGTTTTAAAGGTTGTGTATCTTTTCATAAGAACTGAAATATATTAGTTTAAAAGTTGCATCTTTTTATTATAAATAGAATTGTGTCTTTTTATAAAATAATTTCTATTATTTTAAAAATTCTATCTTTTCATTATAAAAAAAGTTTGTGTCTCATAAAAAATAGTTTAGAAGTATTTAAAAGAGGTTGTAAGAATTATCTCTTCTCATAATAACAATTTTTGAAAGGTTATATCTCTTCATTAAAAATGAAATATATTAGTTTAAAAGTTGCATCTTTTCATTATAAAAACAATTGTGTCTCAGAAAAAATAATTTAAAAATGTTTAAAATAGCTATAAGAGTTGTGTCTTCTCATAATAAAAATCTACTAATTATAACAATCTTGATTAATTTAAAAGTCTGTTAATGCCAAATAAAAAAAATTGAGACTCTTAATAAATTTCTATTAGTGTGAAAGGTTGAAAATAGAATATTATATGAAAAGTTGTGTCTCTTTAAAGAAATAACTGAAAGATTGTGTCTCTTAATAAATAAAATGAGAGGTGTTCTCTTAATAAAAATCACAACTAATTCTAAAGATTGTGAATGTCAAATAAAATAAAAATTGTGTACCTTAATTAAAAATCCCAATTAATTCTAAAAGTTGTGAATGTCAATCAAGATGAAAATGAATGTCAATCAAGATGAAAGGTTGTGACTCTTAATAAAAATATCAATTAATGTGAAATGTTGTAAACGTAAAATAAAATGAAAGTTGTTTCTCTTAATAAATAAAATGAAAGGTTGTGTCTCTTAATAAAATAAAATGAAAAGATGTGTCTCTTAATAAATAAAATGAAAGGTTGTGTGTCTTAATAAAAATACCAATTAATTCTAAAGTTCTGTATCTTAATAAAAATGCCAATTAATGTGAAATATTGTAAAGGCAAAATAAAATGGAAAGTTGTGCCTCTTTAAAAAAATAAAATGAAAAGTTGTGTTTCTTAATAAATAAAATGAAAGGATGTGTATCTTAACAAAAATTTTAATTAATTCTAAAGATTGTGATGCCAAATAAAATAAAAAGTTGTGTATCTTAATAAAAATCTCAATTAATGTGAAAGGTTGCGAATGCCAAATAAAATGAAATGTGGAGTATTTTTGAAAAATATATTTTATGATTTGTTAAATACCCTTAAAAGTGTCTTTTAAGGAAACAAATAAATAATTAACCTTCTCTGATTATNAAAAAAAAACAATTATAACCAAAGATTGTAATCCTTCAAATATGAAAAAGTATGACTCTTTCATGTAAAAAGATGTGTTGTTTGAAAAACAAATATGTTAATGCCATAAATATCGTATGTCTAAAAAACATTTCTTAGGACAATTGCATGAAAAACAAAACAATGGTTGAAAAATTGTATCTTTTCATAATAAACTGAAATATATTAGTTTAAAAGTTGCATCTTTCATTATAAAAATAATTGTGTATCTTCAAAAAAAAAAGTTGTTGAAAGGTTGTATCTTTTTATAAGAACCGAATTATATTAGTTTAAAAGTTACATCTTTTTATTATAAATAGAATTGTCTAGTTTCATAAAAAGTTATCTATTATTCTAAAAGTTTCATCTTTTCATTATCAATAAAAGTTTATGTTTCAGATAAAATAGTTTAAAAGTATTTAAAAGAGGGTATAAGAATTGTGTTTTCTCAAAATAACAATTGTTGAAAGGTTGTATCTTTTCATAAAAAAAAACTTAAATATATTAGTTTAAACATTGCATCTTTTCATTATAAAAATAATTGTGTATTTAAAAAAAAAACTATTATTTTTAAAGTTGCATAAAAAATTTATTTGGACCATTAGATGAAAAACATAACAATTGTTGAAAGGTTGTATCTTTTCATAAGAACTGAAACATATTAGTTTCAAAGTTGCATCTTTTCATTATAAAAACAATTGTGTCTCACAAAAAATAATTTAAAAATATTTAAAATAGTTATAAGAGTTGCGTCTTCTCATAATAAAAATCTACTAATTATAACAATCTTGATTAATTTCAAAGGCTGTGAATGCCGAATAAAAAGAAAA